GTTAATTTAATCTTTTTACAGATTTATGAAAAGTTTGCTCCAACAATTATACTGAACTCTCATTTAAAATAGAATATAAGTCGAGAAAATAAAGAATCTTCAAATAAAAAAAAACAAATTGTATGAAAAAATAACGTACTTTAATTTAATTTTTATTTTGGGTAACGTACTTTCAAAACTTTCATTTTAGTACCTAAGATGTAAAATTTTAAACATTTAAGTAACCCGGTAACCGATTGAAGCATTAACCGGTTACTATGCTAATGTAATGAGTGATGTGTCATCTAACTCAATATTATTTGCTATTCAACTCAATCTCATCCCATCAATCGCCACATCAGCATGATAACCGGTCAATGCTTCAACCTATTACCCGAATACTTAAATGTTTAAAACTTTACATCTTAGATACCAAAATGAAAGTTTTAAATAAAAATCAAGTTAAAATACGTTATTTTTTCATACAATTTATTTTAAAAAATATCTCGTACATGTCAAAAGATGCTCTTAAATACAGTTAACCAGTTTAAACAAAATCATATCAAAGGCCACCAACCCCAACCTCAATACACACCTTTTTCTATAAAAAAAATTACACCCAAAAAGTTAAATATATGATATTTATGTCATGATGTCATTTGCCATTTGGACAAGTTTAATTGGGCCTCTAAAGTTTTCATGCATCTCACATTAATTTTTGCATGTGGAGTAATATGAAGTCTAATTTACAAAGCAAAAACTACTTAACTTTTGCAACAAAATACTTTTTTTTTTGCATTATTTTATAAAAATGGAAAAACCTAATTTTATGTATTTACAATTGTTTTTAATTTATAATATTTATATACAGTAAATAGATGTTTATACTTGTTTTTTTTTTTTTTTTTAACAGGGTTTAAAAGCTAAATATTTTGGAAAACTGAGATCTACTGATATTTCAGATGCTACTAAACCAGTAACAGTTTGATGTGTTTACTATTGTTTTATTTATGGCATGCACCAACAAATTGTATATCTAACGTTATGTTTTAGGTTTTTAGGACATTTTCAATGGGTAATATTAGATCTATAAAAACTGATGTAAAATTTGGAGAAAACAATAAATCTTCTTTGGTGGGTAATACCAAAATGTGAGATTCTAGCTATATTCCTTTTTATTTTCTCCTATTGGTGTATATAAATTGTGTTACACCAAATATGGTGTGTTACCATTCATTACATCGAATTTGGTGTAAGTTTAGGTGTCCCTATTGGAGTGATTTGGTGTCAAATTTGGTATTTGGTGCAAGATTTGGTGTCCCCATTAGATATGGTCTTAGTCCACAAAAAAACGAATTACGTTTTTATTGGATTTTACTGCTAGACCAATAACCCTTTGGTGGATGTACCATTTTAAATTATATGTGTATCTCTCTCTCTCTCTCTCTCTCTATATATATATATATATATATATATATATATGTGTGTGTGTGTGTGTATGGGTTCTCTTGAGACCACTTTGTTTTCATAAGACCACCTGAATAACACTAAATCTTTACAACAAAACACGGTGAAGTTACAAAAAAACACTAAACATTCACAACAAACTATGAAGTTATAAAAAACATTGAACCTTCACAACAAAATACTATGAAGATAAACAAGCCGATTGTGAAGGTTCAGTGTTATTTAAATAGTCTCACGAAAACAAACCGATATTAATGATCCGAAGTCTAGTTTTAGATTTTTATACAACCAAAATGAATAACTTTTTTGGAGATCAATTTTTTAGATTTTGTGGGCAGGGAAATTAGCAAGTAAAAAAGATATTGGGGCACATTCGTAAAGCTAACACAAAGGGTAGAGCAGTAGACAAATCCCACAGAAATTTCTTATTGGGATGATGACCAAAATGAGAATCAAAATCTTGCCCCCAGTTTTGGTTGGATTCACCTTCGACTCTTCATAATTGGTTTCTATTTCAAAACCTATTGACACCAACATAGCGTCAAAATCAATCTATGCCAAGATTCTTTTCTCAAAGCTTACATGTATTATCTTACTTTTTAAATAAGTATCCATATTTTTATTTTTATTTGTGTTAAGATAATGTCTGATTTTCAAATATACCCATAATTATAAGATTAAAAAGTTCATTACTCTATAATTTATTATGAATACAAGTGTCATTTATTTGTGTCAAAGAGGGTCATTATATGCAACAAAACTCAAACACATACAAATGGTCAATGGCCCGATGGTATATGGTAACCTCAGATTCCCGAACTCAGATGTTCAAGTCTCACAAAAAATGAGAACTGTGTATTTAATTTGCTGTATATAAATATTATATATTTCAAAACAAAAAACTCGTACACTTGTCATCTATCACCTTTGATGAGATTTGAATCCTTAACCACCAGAAATATTGGATTACTGAATACAGCCGGACCAATGGCCATTTGGTAATCTATGCCAAGATTTGCCTTCAACTTCGAAACGGAAAAGCAAAAACAAAAGGAAAAAACGACCCAGGTTGGCAATGAGGCCAAGGAGCGTTCGAGTGCTCAAAAGGGGTCCCGGGTTTCAAATCAGCTCGTAACGTGGCCGTTTTTGAAAACACATATGATAGAAAGAAAGTTGTGAGCAAAATGAAAAGAAAGGGGGAAAAGGACAATAAAGGAGGAAAGATGAGATCTAGAAACATAAGCTGGGGAATATCATCTGATCATCAATCCAAGTTGAGTCTAATTCCAGTGCTGCTGCAAGCATTAGATAGAACAACTTTAGCCCCCCTCCCCCCAACCCCACCCTACCCGCCCTACCCCTACCCAAAATCCATGACTGCCTTTAATCACTCACTGGTTGGAATCTTTGAACAGACTGAAATAATTGAGAAAAATGAAATCATTTTGGGGTCAAGAAACCACCAAATGAGAGATAGATACAGAATCTATATATCTATCCTCCACTTCCACTACTATTGACTTCTCTCTATCATTCTCAAGTGCTGAAGATCAAAAGCCCCTGAAAATCTGGACATCAAAATCTTCACTTTTCACCCTTTTTCTTGTCCAATTGCTGCAAAAAACAAACCCTCATAAATGCCTAAAAAGCTTAGGAGTCATATTCAGTGTGGCCTGCCAAAAATCAAAGTACCAATTTTTTCTCATTATTCACTTGTGCATTTTCCTACAAATATTGATAGTGCCTAAATCTCCAAGAACCAGTTTTCTCATTATTCACTTGAGCATTTTCTTACAAATATTGTTAGTGCAAGTACCAGTTTTCTCAATTATTCACTTGTGTATTTTCCTACTAATGTTACCAATTTTCTCATCATCCATTTGTGCATTTTCTTACAGATATTGTTAGTGCCTAAATCAAAGTATCAGTTTCTCATATTCACTTGTGCATTTTCCTACAAATATCGTTATTGGCTCGGGGGGTTTTACTGTCCGGTAAAAATTGTTTACATGGTCAGAGACGATGTTGTTTACCAAGCACTTCTAACCGGTCCATGATGCTGATTGGTAAGCTAAGGAAGAGAGTCTTACTCCGTCAGTTGAATAGTGCTGACCCAGACCACACCCTTACCCGGTCAGCACTTATCCAATTTGTGTGGGTAATGGCTTTAACTGCTTATTTACACAAAACCGCCATGAAGAAAGGGAAAACCCTATGTTTAGCTACAATTCCACTGTCTATTTCCTTGAATGCATGCATGCAGAAGGGGACTCGTTGCACTTGTCTTACAAATAGCATAATGACACCCATTTATCATGAGGGAACCAAATCAAACAGCCGAGTATATCCCACCTGAAGGTGGGGGTACGGGACTAGGAGGGGTAAGACGCAAATCTAATATCTACCTAAAGTGTAGAGCGGTTGTTTCTATGAAGACCCCCAACTTGTGAACGAGTGTGCTAAAAGAGAACTGCACATAAGATAAATTTTGAAAAGCTAGTTACGAGTAAGCAATAATATGCAGAAAAATGCATTATGGGTTTTTTCTAACGATGAATAGGAAAGTTGAGATATCAGCATAATAGAGTTTGAAATGGCGGGAGATCTATATGCTTTATGAAGTGAAAAATAATAGTAACGGAAAATGGTAAAGAAAAACTTCCAAAGATGATTATACTTGTTGGAGATCTGATACTATTCTTTTGTACAGATGTAGTTTAAAAGAGGGTAAAAATATAGAGCAAACCAACCGCTTATTTTGATTCCTATGGTGCAGCAGTTGGGGAAGATGCTAATGCTTTAAGCTAACTGGCGGAATGGCTCTTCCTTGCTGCATAGGCTCGGTATGCCGCCAATGCTATTACAGCCGCAGCAGCTCCAACTGCAAATTTGTAGTAAAAATACATCAAACAAACAAATCAAACGAGCCCAGTATATCCCACCTAGAGGTGGGGTCTGGTGAGGGTGGGACGTATGCAGACCTGAGCTCTATCCCAAAAAGTAAAACAGTTGTTTATGTGAAAAGGATGCGAAGAAAGAGTGATAATGCCGAATTACCAGAAGCAAACATGAGAGAACGATTAACGAGCCGACGGTATTGCTTCTTGTTTCTCCCATATTCAGTTTCAGGGACGCTCAAATAACAGCGCTCAGCTGCGTTTACAATTCTCCAAAAGATGTTATTCATGTCTCTTTCCTTTACGCTGATATGGATGGGTGCATCTATTTTCATTTCCTGACAAATCTAGAGCAAAGGGTCGCAAAGTGCGGATTGAAGTGAGTAAAATTTTCATAGTAAGAGATTAAAAAGGTAAAACCAAACCGAACCAAACGAAACAAACCCAGTAAGTTCCACATGGTGGTGGGGTCGGGTGGGGTGGGATGGGATGTATGCAGACATGATCTCGATCTCGAAAAAAGAGTGACTGTTTTCGTGAAGACACCGACTTGGCAAAGTGTGCGAAAAGAAAGGGAAAAACTTGCTAATTTTTTGTAGAAAAAGAACATAAGAACTTGAAAATACGATGAATATCAGAAATAACTACACGCCCCTAGTCTAACCTAGGACTCCGAAGATCTTACTGCTAGGTGATAGCCCCCTAATCCTGCTCCATCTTCTATCTTTCTAGAACCCTTCCTCCCGTCTATGGTAACTACAGATTCTCATCCCTAGTCTGCTACCCTTATCTTGCATCTCCAAGAACTTCTATTAGAGGTCATGTCCTAGGAAAAGAACAATGTAAACAGATTGCATAGGAGAAGGGGGCAAAAGATATTGAGGTCAATAAAGTCAATTACCGCTTCCGAATCCTTGATTGCCATTGGGTAAGAATCCAAGTCATCCTTAGCAGCAACGAAGAGACAAGGGACGCCATAACCAGTATCTTCACCTCGTCTAGCGACATCCATAAGCAATTCTGATGATCTTTTTAAGGAATATTCATCCGAACTGCAACGAGCAACAAATTAGACACAAGGGAAGAGAAAAAGAATCGGCATATCGACAAGAATGAAAGAAAGACAACAGTTACTGTTGGGTTCCCTTGAGAACATAAAAAGGATAAGATCTTTGTAGCATCGAAATGGCGCTCGTTGTGTTGGAATAAAAAGCATAGCAGTCAACTGTACTAGTTCATCGTTACTAGTCAAGGCATTTGAATCGAACTCCAACTAGTTTATAACTAAAAGCGACTCACAACCCAACGTTGCATTAAGTTGAACTTTACCTCAATAGAATCATGGCTTCGCTAGAAGGATCACGTGTAGGTGTTGATTTACCACAAATTTGTACTTATCAAAGGGATTTTTCATGTTTCAATTCACAAACATGGTGTTAAAACGGATTATTTAGCTAAATGAACTCAGGGAAAATGTTCTTTAAATTCATGACCTTCTAACAGGTTTCTAAGCATTCTTGTGTGTAGAGAAGCATTCTTCTGTTAAAAGCAGTGACAATCTCAAAACCTGCAAAAGGTCATGGATTTTAAAAAACCTGTAAGAAGGTCATGGATTTAAAAAAATTGTCCGAAGATCATGGATTTAGAAAAAAAAACATGTCAGAAGGTCATAGATTTTTAAAAAAACCTGTCAAAAGGCCATTAAACTAAAGGACATTGTTGAAACCTTTTACCTTCTAGGTAGGTTTTGAAGGGAAATCCTTGTAAACATGTTTCCTCTTTTAATTTTTTCTAGCCATTTTCAACAAGTCTATGAATAGAAATCAAATCTTGCTAACATATAGCATCAAACTCACCAGTCATAAACAAAAACTGCTACATCACAGGCAGCCAAGGATTCCTTGCTAGATAGAAACGGTTTGACTTCATCTTCTTGAATTTCACGCAATATAAGAGTTTTCTTTGTTCCCTGAAAATTCGATGTATATCATGCAAGTCACATGGTAGAAACAGCCGACCCAAAAGACGTGTAGTTATTAGTATGCTTTCTCCTATTCTCAGGTGTCCCATATGACTTTGCATAAAAGGTACTCCCTTCGTCCCAAAATATATGTCCATAATGAAAATCGGTTTTAGAAATGTGCAACTGTTACATTTTTTTAATTAACTAATTGACAATTTTACCCCTAATAATAGAGAAAGTAATGAATTTCTCTATCTCATAGTTAAGGGTAGAATTGGAAAGTAGGCAATTTTGAAAGTGGATACTTATTTTGGAAACACTAGAATACAAATACGGACACTTATTTTGGGACAGACAGAGTAGAAAATTAGTCAAAACAGGTGCAGTTGTAGTTTCAGTCTTGCCCTTGAGACAGTGGAAGAATCTCATACTTGTAGATGTTTGAGATTACAACTGAAAACGTTAAAAGGCAAAACACAGAATTGGCATATAATGAAAATATATTCATCAATTTGAAAGCAAGTAAATGGGATCATCCTGAATGAGCAAGATGGGCACCTAAGAAGAAAAGGCAGATAAGCACAAAATGAAATTTTATTAAGACACCATCTTCAAATGTTTCTAAAATCAAAATGTTTTACAGTGTACACTCACCCGAAGCTGATCAACAGCATTGACTGTATAACATTGATTGCTGGTTAACGTATATGATTGTTGGAAAGGCCTGCAAGTAAATTGAGTGTATGCTTCATGAGATATAACAGCAGAAGAGATTAAGAAATTTGTGGAGATCACAAACTTCAAACAGAAAAACTAGCATAACTTTTCAAGGAGCAAAAGCTTCAAAAAAGCACCTTCCCACAAATGAACTTAACAGTGCAGACTTGCCAGCATTTTTTGGTCCAAATACAAGGCACTGGAAAACATGTCTGTCCGATTGTTGTTTTTTAACATCTAACGTTCTTTTCCTGGTAAGATGGAGTGCTGTTGCAGGATCATTAGTATATCCCAGGTATATCAGATAGGCCAAACTTTTTGCTGGATCGAGTAATGTCATTAGGGCCCACTGCAACCATGAATCAAATGTCAGGAATGCCGAGCATACAGCTTAGGCAAATAAATAAATTTTCATGGGGGCTGAATGTCAGTAATGCCGAGCATGCAAATGTAAGTTGAAATAATACATGTACATCTATAGTCATGGGGACTGAAGTACTTAACTAGTACCTGGAGTGATTTGTTATTTTTGATGCAATCTTATTAAATGTAGAAAGTTTAATTTCAAATCCATAAATATATCATCAGTGTAGCGTCGAACTTCCTTATACAAATATAGTAATTAGTCTCTGTTTTATGGATGAATATAGCAATGAACTCTCATTAAGTGAAGTACAGTGGCTGCAGGTAGATAATCAATTTCAGATGGTTAAGTACAACTGAACAACTTAAACTAAACACTTGGTTTGAATAAAGCGATGTAATCAAGAACCAGAACAGTAATCGGGTGTTGTGATGTTGCTAAAGAACAAGCCTTGGGGTGATATGACTCTTGCATTTGGTGGTTTGAACTACATAGAAATAACAAAAACAACAATAGTTATTACATATATAAAAAAGATTAGAAGACTGTGCACTGGCTTGTACTTGGTAAACCATTTATGTTTAGATATATGTCCATACATGTCAAAACAAATAAACATCCATATAATACACAAGACGAAGGATCGTGTGGGAGTAGGAGTTAAGGTGAGAAAAGAAGGGATCTGGACCCCTTGATCACTTTTAACCTCACCCCCCCCCCCTCCATGAATTGCACTTGATACGGGAACTGATCCGGTGCATCTCGTTGCTTCTCATTAGTGTTGATCTTCAATTAGGATTGATCCAAGGGTGGAGATCCCTCCTTACCCTTCTCACTATAGCTTCCATTCTCACCGGAACCCAACCCTAATAAACAATTACATCAATAGTTGTATGTCTGAACCAAACCAGTCATTGGCCAACTTTCAGAGTGCATATGCAGAGAACTTGAACCCCGCAGCAAGCAAGCCGAAAGATTAGAGAATATTTATGACAAGATGAAAAACAGTTAAAAGAACAGTGGAATAAAGCAAAGTAATCTGGTATTGCAATTCCTTGTGGTATGAATAAGTATGCATCGCACGCACCTGAGAGAGGAATCCAGAAAGTCTTATATCCCCTAATTCGGTTCTCTCTAAGCTACTCTTGTAAGGATCTTCATCCCAAGGACTGAAATAAGAACATAAATTACACATGCATTAGAATTAATATGGCGAGAGGAGCCTCTTCTTCTGATATAGCAAATGGAGACGCCGAGTTTGGAACATTTAATTGTAAAAGTGCTCATGGTTACTGATGCACTCGTACTATATAACAGACCAGCAGCAATTTTCGGCTTTTAATAGTCATTTGAGTGTCAAAACAAAAGCAGGAATATCAACCCACTTAGATCAAAAGCTTACAATAGGATCTGCAGATGCTGATTAATTAAATAACTCATCTGGATTTCCTGTGGAGGTGAGGGGTTCATGTCTCACCAAAGATGAGAAGTGTGTGCGAGTTTAATTTGCCATATCTAAATATTATATACTTAGAAAAAGCTTTATGAGATACCTAGCAAATAAGCAACAATGAAAGAAGAAGGCAATAGTTCAGTTACTAGTTTTGCTTACCTTGTTAGCATGTATATGTTCTAACCCAATTCGAGATGGCGGATCTCCCAAAGAGAATAGAGAGGAATAGAACTCAAAACACTTTCTTCTTTGTCTAAAAATTAAAGTGACAACAATACAAACTTATATTACAAAGTCCCTCTCCATGTCTACGGTTAGCACCATGATCCTAAAATAGCTCCTACCTTGTTGCTAACCATCATGCTTAACTCCTATGAGATTAAATAATAACATGCACTAATAATTACCAACACAAACCTAAAATATTGAACCCATGCATAATTAATATAAAAGATATGGTAAAAACAGCAGCTACTCTTCCAGACGAGCAGGTGTCACGGGTCTAGATGTCCGTATCAGTATATTCCGATGTTACTTTACCCGGTGAAATGATAAGGTTAGAAAATAGTTTTTCACTATAACCTTCTATATAAAAGGTAGTTGCCAACTCAAATAATTATTCAAGCTTTTATGGCAACTAACCTTTACTCCTTCCAATCCAAGAGCCAAGATTAATGTCCATTTCAAAACCTGGCTATCTGGAGATCTTTTTACCTATCTGAGGCATGAATCAACTGGAATCCCTGTTTAAATTCAATCTTTAGTTTTAATAGAGAAAGATTATTAGAAAACATCCAAATGAACTAATTTCATATAGCAAACTTCGATTATTAAGTAAACAAATTCCTAAAAAGATGAAGTATATTAGCAATCTAATGTCCATCAGAAAGCATAAATAATGAAAAGAAGAAAATGATTCTCGTGGTGTTTTAATTCTGGGACAAAACTAAAAGCCAAAAAGCTCATTTTCGGGACAGGCATACAGAACTACTATATGGTGATTACTTTATCATAGAAGTTTCAGGTCAAATCAATTAGTTGCTATTAAATTATAAAAAGAGCGTGTTTAGGTAGATTTGATTGATAAGCACTTACAGAAGAATTTGAGAAGGGAATGATGTGCTTGTGCTGATTATTTTGAGGCTAATGGAAGGTAGGGGAAAGAATAGAGAACGCTTAAATGCATAAGAAATCATCAAGCATGTTGTACTTCAATCCAAAACTCGGAAGGGATACAACATAAGAAAAGGTAAACATGATCAACTCATGGGTCTCCATAAGAATGGGAAATAAACAACAAAATGCCACCCTATCTCACCACGTGTAATACGAATATAAAGAAAGAAGGGGAAAAACTAGATTTAATATAGATACCATGAAGAATTAAATCAATACAATGTGAAGTTGAAAAATTGGCCCACCTTTCTGGCGCAGTTGAAAACAGCTCATCAAGCTCAGAGTCTTGAAGGGCCCCGTCCTACCAGGTGTAAACGTTTACATTTGAGATATATGCACAACAACTTCAAAAGCAAATATTGAGAGTTTGCTACAATGGTATATATCATAATGAATGAAGAAATTTAACTTTTTACATGTTCCCAGCACAGCCCAACATTAGATAGTTGACTTCTGCTTGTGCTCCTTTCACTTTGGAAAAAAAACCTTTCACCCAATACAAGTGAAGACAGAACTTATTTACTAGGTTAAACTGCCCAAGTTTTGGCGTAGCGTGCATATGACCTACTATTGGAGACAGTAATCTGCTCCTTGGATGAGTACAACAAATTTTTACGAGTATATATATATATATATATATACATACATACATACACACACATGCACAGAGAGAGAGAGAGAGATGTTTGGGTGTGTTAGTGTTCCTATTGCATAAACGTCATCGATCCCATCAACTATTTTTGTTTTCGGCCACCCAATCTTTCAGGCTGAGAATGAAACTTCAAAAAGACATTCTAAATCCAGAATACCTGAGTTTAACGTAATTGAATCTTTCTTTAATGAAGCATAATGAATGGGTTGCCAGATTCTATGGAAAAGCCAAAATTCGACAAGTAAACATATTTTTTATCATGCCTTCCATTTCCAGATTGTCCCTTTTTTTCTCCTGATGTTGGATAGTTTCTCCATACCAATAGAATTATTTTTTCAGTTTTTCACTTTCCATCCTCTTGTCAGATTGGAGCCATAACTCATATATCTTCTGGAATCTAAGGCACATGCACCATATGAAGGATAGAAAGGAACGATGCAACTTCAACCATGTCTTGGCTCAAAAACAAAGTCAAATTAGACTCCTGATAACGAACGAAGTGTGGCTAATTTTGCAATATCTCTTTGACCTGCAGCCTAAAACATGGCTCTAGCGGGACGAACAAGGAACTGACATCATCTTCAAAGGATAGTTGTTACAATTTGTATTGGGAAAATGTTTGTAGTTTATATATTGTGGTATGTTGTACAAGTATGCACAAGTCTCAAATACTTGGTTTTTCCATTTATGTCCTTACAGCTATTGTATTGAATGCATTTATGAGACAAAAATATTCTGAAATACTATCACTAGAAAAAGTAACAGCCTTACCATCTGAAATTGGATTAACGAAACAAGCTTAACCTTAGGACAAATAAATGAAGTGAAAGATTAAAAGGCAGACACCACATTCTTTCAAGTTTCTATCTAGGGATTACGGAAGTAAATCGGTGCAAGTCTACACTTGCCTACTCAAAGAGAATACTCACTCTTCTCAATCTATTTCAACATAGAGAAAGTAAAATGACTGAACATTAACTAAAGCAGTTATGAAGTAACGAAACACAATGTAATTAAGAATCAATAAATAAGAATTTAAGTTAGAATCAAACATGAGAAATACATACATTGTTAGAATCAAACAAACTGAAAATCCCCATCAGGAAGTCCACAGCTTCGCTAGTCAACTCAACACTCTACATGAACACAACATTAGAGGATTATTGCCAATATTGGATGCTATTTTAATTTGAAGTTGGTAAGGGCATAACCTGGTCAGGAGCCTTTTTAGATGGAACAGGAAGATTCTCCTTCCGGAGTTCAATGTCATCATTGTAACCAAATTTACGCAAGACGCTCCACGTCGTCTCAAGGCGGCCTTTTTCAATAAACAGCGCATGAAGAAAAAGAAATCCTGTTAGGGTAAGCCCAAGTTCGTTGACCCCTTCAGGCACCTTCTCCTGCACAACTCTCTTAACACCCACTATTTCAGCAGGTTGTAGAGRAGCATTGAAACACTTAACCTGTTATGAGAAACAGAAGAGCAGTTCTTTATATATACAAAGAAACACTATTGCTTATGATTCCCATCACTGAATAGAAAATCTAGAAGAAACAAAAAGGAAGTCAAGGATCTCATCATAAGAAAGTGTATAACTTTCTTATTATGGAAGATAGAAGTAGAGGGGTTACCTGAAATTCATTCAACTCACTATCATTTAGSGCACTGTCCATATCATGATCACACAGAATAAATATCCTTTTCAATGCTCTAATGCATCGGGGTTTTAGAGTTTGAGATTCTTGATCAAACAAGGGGGCTGTTGGATGAAGCACTGCTTTTTGGGCATAGTAAAACACCTCAGGTACCTATAAAATAGATAAACTGAGCTTGTGTTTCTAACCATGTAACAGGTTTAAACTACGAGATAAGTCTGAACATGATGTGGAAAACAAAATGCCTGCATTCTAACTTCTCCAAATGCACATGGAAAAGGAATAAGCTATAGCATATCACCAAGATGATCTTGCTTTTAGAGTGCAACAAGCTCAAGCTGGTGCAACTGTCAGATCTAAGTGATCCGACAATAATTTCACTAAAAGGAACAAAAATACATGAGTCGAAGTAAAAGGGTGTTGCGTTTTTATTAGATGTTACTATAGGGTCACTGCATAAACTAAAAACATAAAGACATATTGCCATAATGTGACAAACATTACATGAACAATCTATATGCTTCCAATCTTTTCATTGATATCAAAGTTGAACATAATAACATACCTGGACAAGGTTAGCTGCGGAACACTCTATACAAGTTTCTATCTCCCTAAACTGTTGCATTATTGGAGCCATCACCTGCTCTAGACTCATGGGGTAGTGTTCATCACGCAAATCTAGCTTGCAACCAACCACAATCACTGGTACCTTGACCTGTAGATAGATCAACATAAGAACATAAATGAATTCTCACAATCCCCAATCAAGCAATTAAAAGCATATCACAATTGGAATTTTCTTGGTGTAATTTCCTTTTCTTGTTTTCCTTTTGCCTCATTTTATATCATAAAATATGGACGGATTGAAAACCTTCAAGCGACGAACTTCAGGAATCCAGAAAGTCTGAACGCGATTGAGTGTTTCAGGTTTATCACAAGCATATGTAATCACCACCGCATCAGCTCGCTTCAATTCTTCCTCTAGTTTAGCTTTACCTTCCAAACTACATTTACAAATCCAAGTAAAGGACTAATAAGCAAATGCATAATCTAATCAATCAAATAAATCGGTTACAAGAATACTCAATCTATACCTAGACGCAGTATCGATGATGGTTACCGGAACGCCATCCGGATAGTAATCCGCAGGAAGACGAGTAGGAGGAAGAACAGGTGAAACGCTTTCCGGAAAATTCTCTGAGGCAGCTGCCGCGATTAGGCTTGATTTACCAGAGCCACGATCACCGACCACCACAACTCGGACGGTAGTCCGGCGACCTGGAATCGGTGCCCCCACTGCTGAGCCGCCTGACATTTAACAACTACAAAGACCAAAATCACATATATAAGTTAACCACAGAAAAAAAAAACTTCGTTAGATGAGATCTAAACGATCAACAAACACCTCTTCAGAAAACACAAATCAATCGCTGAATTCTACAGAACTAATCTGCTTCTTGATCGACGGCGAGCTATGCAGACATGCTCATGAATGGAGTCGGATGCTTTATTGTCTGTACAGCGGAAGAAATCTGTTGAAAGAGTCACTGTGAGGGTGTATCAAAAGCGTGAGTGAAGGGTGTAAACTGTAAGAAATCTCATTCTTATGGAAAAAACTATAACTTTTTGTTTCTTGAGGGTGTATCAAAAGCGTGAGTGAGGGGCGTAAATAGTAATAATCTCATTCTTTTGGGGAAAAAATGTAAATATTCATTTCTTGGGGGTTAGGGGAGGTTCAGATTTTCTCGGGGGGGTGTCCCCCTCTCCTCACCAATAGCAAAGATGTCTATGACTTGTGTTGTACACTATAGGTTTAAATATTCAATAGTTCAATTTTGGCATATTATATTAAATTATAATAAAAATAGGTTTAAATATTTAATAGTTCAATTTTGGCATATTATATTAAATAATAATAAAAATAAAAGGAATTTATGTTATTTCTATTATTCTTGAGATTTTTTTCCATTTTAAATATTTTTGTAAAAAATAATCATATATTTTAATTGTTCTCCATCGTTCCATGCAGATTAGTTTCGGAATAAAATTTGATTATCATGAGTAGGGGTGCTCATGGGTTGGGTTGATCGGGTTGAGGACATTTGAACAACTCAACCCAATGCTTGCGGTTTGGAAAAATCTTAACCCAACCGAACCCAAACCAAAGTGCAACCCAACCCAACCCAACTCGTACGGGTTAGTCGGGTTGATCGGGTTGATACTTTGGTATATTAAAATACTCTTCTAACTTTTAATATGTTATTTCTCTACTTATAATTTCTTTTTCATCATCAACCATTTGATACAACTTATTCATATTTNCTATAGGTTTAAATATTCAATAGTTCAATTTTGGCATATTATATTAAATTATAATAAAAATAGGTTTAAATATTTAATAGTTCAATTTTGGCATATTATATTAAATAATAATAAAAATAAAAGGAATTTATGTTATTTCTATTATTCTTGAGATTTTTTTCCATTTTAAATATTTTTGTAAAAAATAATCATATATTTTAATTGTTCTCCATCGTTCCATGCAGATTAGTTTCGGAATAAAATTTGATTATCATGAGTAGGGGTGCTCATGGGTTGGGTTGATCGGGTTGAGGACATTTGAACAACTCAACCCAATGCTTGCGGTTTGGAAAAATCTTAACCCAACCGAACCCAAACCAAAGTGCAACCCAACCCAACCCAACTCGTACGGGTTAGTCGGGTTGATCGGGTTGATACTTTGGTATATTAAAATACTCTTCTAACTTTTAATATGTTATTTCTCTACTTATAATTTCTTTTTCATCATCAACCATTTGATACAACTTATTCATATTTATTACGTATATTACATTCAGTTAATTTTCTCAATTTACATATATATGTTCACAGTTACTGAATGAGTTATATAGAGATATAAATAGATTGGAAATATGTGTATATGAAAAGCATACATGATAGTGTAATTGTCTAATGTATATATTAATAAAAATTCAACAATCATATTAAATCTAAGAAATAAAAGGATATCGGGTTCGTCGGGTTCATCGGGTTCATCGGGTTGGGTTGGGTTCAAATAATAGTAACCCAATACCTACGGTTTGACAATTTTACAACTCGATTAAACATCGGGTTGCTTCGGGTTGGGTTATTTCACATTGGGTTGGGTTGGGTTGATCGGGTTGGTCGGGTTTTTGAGCACTCCTAATCATGAGCATATATTTTTGAAAAATTATTAGTATTATTAATATTTAAAATTAATAGAAAAAATATGATAAACTTTGTAATGTATAAGAAGTTCTAAATACAAGCTATTAACTTATATAAACCTTACAAATGTAGGGATCGTTCACTAAATACATACCTAGAAAGTGCTTACCGGGTAGTTTTCCTTACCGGGTGAACATGGCAAGGCTCAAAAAATCTTATTCGGTAAAAGCAATGATATAGATGGAGAGTCTTACTCGGTAAGTGATGATGATGATTCTTACTGGGTAAGTGCTTACCGGGTAAATTGTTGCATACGGTACCACTTTAATGTACTACAATCTTACCTCCTAAAATAAATTATAATGTTAACTCCCAACATTAAGCGGTTACCAGGTAAGCATTTAGGTAAACGACTCCTTAATCAATCTCAAATCTTGATTTTGTTTATTCTGAAATTTAGAGGCGCTTATCAGATACGGTTGAGAGTAAATTTAGAAATTGGTTTAATCCATACCATTGATTATCTACACTTATGGTGATTGGCTTGTATAGTTTTATAACAATTACATGCTTTATATTTGAATATATACATATATATATATATATATAGAGAGAGAGAGAGAGAGAGAGTTAAAGGTTCAAGGGAAAATCGTAAAAATTGAAAAACCAATGTGCATACAAGTGAAGCTGCTTTTTGGTTTTTATGCACGTGTGCATTATGCACATGTATATGTTACAAATTACTTTATTAGATGAACGATTACCAAAGTGTTCATTTCATCTTTTACGGTTTTTCCCTGAATTTGTCATACACACACACACACACACACACATATATATATATATATAGGGGCCTATTCAAGGGAGAACTGAGTTGTTTGTGGTAACTGTGAGAACCAATATTAACCACAAATCAATAGATAAATTAGGAAATTTATAAATTTAGTAATTTTAAATTAAAATCTTAATGCAGGGATATTTTTGGTATTTTAAAACTCTCCTCTCTCTTCTCTTCTCTCTCCGGCCACCGTCCTCCGGTGATACCACTGTGATACCTAAAAATATTGACTCTGTTAAACAAAAGATACATTATGATACCTAATCATATATAAGATGCATAGTGATACCACTGTGTTACATCTTCGATCGATCACACAAACGACATCAATGTGATACCCAAGCACATATATATGATGCATTGTGATACCATTGTAGTATCACCGGAGGACGGTGGCCGGAGAGAGAAGAGAGGAAGGAGGAAAGTTGTAAAATACCAAAAATATCCTTGCATTAAAATTTTAATTCAAAATTGTCAAAATTATAAATTTCTTAATTTATAAATTGATTTGTGGTTAATATCGGTTCTCACAGTTACCACAAACTAATTAGTTCTCATTTGATTAGCCCTTATATATATATATATATATATATATATATGAAAATGATGAAGATTCATTTATTATGATTTGGATACTTATGAAAAATGATTAGAGTCATTAGCTATGACCAAGGCTTTCTATTAGAAACAATCTAAATCTTTATGAAATCAAATATTCATCAGATTAAATGGATGGTTAAGATTGTTTTGAATTTAAAACTTCATCTCTCTCTATATATATAATTTGGATATATAATTTAATATATATTCACATGTTAATCTAATCATAGTCTTTATAAATATTGTTTATAGTTCACATATAATGTATATTTACATATGAATATGCTTGTAATTTTTAATGTGATGTACATTACTCGTGTAATCACATGAAATGCACATTTTCATGTGAACATAGACATGCAACACATGTTTACATGTATAATTTCTCATATTTATTATGTAAGGTATATTAATATATGAATATACACATGATGAATATTCACATGTGCATGTTTGCATGTAAATATAATATAAAGACACATTGCTTTTAGTAAGTAATCTATCAGGAATTTAAAGACCCGACTAAAAACATCAAAAACATATATCAACGTCGTATTTCAAATAAGGACTATGACATAGGGAAAGCAACCCCCGGATATTGACCTATGAATGTTCTATCATGTTCCATCAACACACTAAATGGGTTATACGATATATCCGGTGTGGAAGTAGGCCAACATTTTTATTGGAAAATCGCTTCGCTCTTCAAGCTCCACCCCCCTTACTCAACGTCTTCATCTATAAAGAAAGCCCTTTCGCTACCGAACCGCCATACTCAGGTAACCGGTCTAGGTTCCAAGTACGTCAACACCCCATAGCTACTTAGGGCGCCTCGATCCGATAGAGGTCAATGACCACCGGAGGTGGGAAGGGCGTAGGTATCAAATTAAAAAAACTACTTTTTATATGATTTATTTAATTAAATTTTTAATCATATTGAAAAAAATTTGGATTTAAATAAAATATATAGATTTATTTTATAATTGGAAATTGCATACAAAGCAATTTTGCTTCATTTTTTCAAATTAATTTAACCCTTAACCTATTTAATACATACCCTTTTACTTAACTTTCACTTTTATTAACTAAAATGTTGCTTTCAAAATCTACTGTAGATTAAACTAAACAAAAAGTGTCAATTTATTCTCTTATTCTTATTCTTAGGGGTTGATTGACAGTTGTTGAATAATTTGATGTAAAATGATTAAGTGATCAAAATGATTAAGAGACTTTCTTGATATAATGCAAGATAAAATATAATTATTTGATAATTGTTTACAATGAAATTAGGGCATTGAATGGTTAAGGAAGACCCATGGTACAAAATCATTCAGAGATTTTTAGAACCATTGACTATTGAGAGACAAACTTGTTTTTACCAAGAAAGATTCACCTCTTATCGATTCATAGGTTGTTTCTTAATGGAACTATTAAAAGGTAAACAAACAACATTTTAGTCTCTCTCATGTACTCATATATATATATATATGTATGTGTGTGTGTGTGTGTGTATGTATACATGTATTTTTTATTTTTTTTTATTTTCTAAACATGACGTAATTAACATTATTATAAGAAGTATATTGCTGATGACGCTTAAAATTAACAAAGTTGGTAACATCAACGATCACTGAATTTATCGTCATGTCTAATGTTGTACGATGGAAGGGAATTAATTCTGAATTTTTGAAATTTCAGTAATTGAAAATTAAGAACATGAAGATATAGCATTCTCAAAAAATAAGGGGCTTAATAGTAATTTTGGAAATCATTATAGAAAATGAGAGGGTCATGTTATCATAATAAGTGATCCAGATCAACCCGGATTCTACCCGAACTCGAC